CAACACGCTAGAATACCGTGGCGCAGCGCTATTTGTTAAGAATAGCGAGAATCCGCCTAGTATTGATGCTCATTATGTTCACATTGAAAAAATATGTGGGTGTTTTTTTCAACCCATAAAATTCTTGAATAAGCAATGATATACTGTACTGTACGACCAAAAAACATTTGTCCACCCTCACAAAAAAAAGAAAATTGCTGAACCGTGACTATGTGGTATGCATAAACTGTGACATACAGAGAGAAACGTATAAAAAGAAAGATGTGATGGACATAAAAAAAAGAAAACAAAAATAAAAGCTATCACAAATCGAAAAGAGAAAAGGTGAAAAAAGTAAATAATATTTAAAAATAAATAATTAAAATATTTTTTTAAGATAAAAACAGAAATCAATAAAAACAATACAAATCCTTACACCATAGGTGTCAAAGTCAAGGCCCGGGGGCCAGATCTGGTACCCCACATCATTTTATTTGGCCTGCGAAAGCAAATCAAGCATGTCAACTTCCATGATGCTTGTTAAAGTCTGAACCAAAATTTCAAATTGTCATATGGAATCCACAAAAAGTAATTCTCCTTGACTTCTGATTTTAAAACTAGTTCTCCATCAATTTGTTGTGCGCTGTGTATGTAATATGTGGATGTGATTAAACATTTAGATGGTTTCCCAAAATTCATAACGGCCCTCCAAGGGAAACTATAACAGCAACGTGGCCCGCGACAAAAATGAGTTTGACACCCCTGGCTTACAGGGACAGCGGTTACGACAGTGGCATCTTATCATGTTATCATTATTTGTGCATGAAAGGGTAAAGTATCAAGAAAAATTTGTAATAAAAATCTTAAAAAAAGAAAACAACAATAAGACTGGTCAACTCATCTCTTTCTGCAAGGAATAATCTAGAAATAAACTGTATTTTAAAAGTGATTTCAACAAAATGTCAGTATAATAAGCCTCTAACTTTTAAATTAAATAATTTTGTCCTAATACTCACCATTAATGTGAATGGTTTTCCGTTCCTTACGATTGCTAAAAATCCAGCAAAACTATCGGAATGAAAGTCAGCTTGCCGGGTCCAAACGCGAAGTTACTTACTGCTGGCTAGCTTGCACACTGCTCAGTAGTTTGCACGGTTCCTTTCTGCTGTCTCTCGCAGAGTATTTTGATGAGAACGTAGCATGGGGCGTGTCAAAGTGCCGCTTTGCATTCTAACCGTTTCATCGATGGTATTTTGTCATTGCAAATTAGACACACCGCAGAACCTGTTCATTCCACAACGGCTTTGGTCCATTCGTCCTGAAGTTTACCATACTCGCCATCTTTTTTTTCTTTTTGCCATCTTATTCGTCAAAGGATTAGCTTTGAGCTAATGACCGAGCGGGGGGCGTTTACCTGTTTCCACAGCAACGGCAACGTAGGCCAGTATCATCCAATCAAAATTGCTCCTGGAGCCAACTGAAGCCCGAACAGGAAATGAGCAGTGAAAAATCGATTGATAGATGCATTAAACAAGCGAAAATATTTTGTTTCATCTGCGAGCCAGATGCAATCATCAAAAGAGCCATATATGGCTCGCGAGCCATAGGTTGCCGACCCCTGATCTAGAAAGACAAAAGTCTCTGTCTGGTGCCCTCGTGTTTTCCGTCGGCGGTATCAATCAAAACGCTCGGCCGCCCTATGACGACATCAGCACATCTTACCCGCCCTGATTACGGCACTTTTTCCGCCATCCATAATCTCAGCCTCTCTGCTGCACATTTACGTCCTGCGCGCGCGCGCACACACACACACACACACACACACACACACACACACACAAAATTTAGGGCAAGAGTTACTCGGTTTGCATCCTAAATAAAGCAGCAGTGGAAGGTCCCTCGCAAGTCATGCGGCATACCTTCAACTACGTTTGAAGAAGATACACGTCGACAGCGGGAAAGGAGAAATCTTATACCTTAGTGTCCAACTCAAGGCCCGGGGGCCAAATGTGGCCCACCACATCATTTTATGTGGCCCGCGAAAGCAAATCAAGCATGTCACGTTCCATGATGCTTGCTAAAATCTGGACCAAAATGTCCAATTTTCATACGTAATAAATCAATTACAATATGTCCCTTATTGTAAGCATTTTTTTTTTTTGTGACCAAGAGTAATGGTCACTATGATGTGGCCTGTGACAAAAATGAGGTTGACACTCCTGTCTTATACGTTACAAACACCAAAGGGGGAAAATTCAACTGGTGAATTAGACAACTGCCTGGTTTGAGTCGGTACCTCTCACACAGAATAATGACCCAGAAAAGACCATGAAAAAAACATATTTGACACTTATAAAGGGGCTATCGGGTACTACCGCCAAAGGCGGAAAATTTAAGGGCTGACTTCATCAACACCCCACTCGGTGTCGGTACCCTTCATGCTGAACGGTAAATGTGAAAAACCTGAGAAAAAGACAACTTTGATGCTTAGAAACAGGATCTGGGATACCACCACCAAAGTCGGAAAATTCGAGGGATGACTGACACTGTGTCACTACCTTTCACACAGAATAATGAGTCAGAAAAAGACGGGAAAAATATCATTTTGACAGGCAGAAAGGGGCTATCTGGTACTCTCTCTGAATCCGGTTAACTTCCCCATCTCAAAGTACCTTTCACTCAAAACAGCGAGATGGAAAATGCAGCTTTGCTTTGGAGAAAGGGGCCAACTGATACTATCTCAGAAGCCATAAAAAAAAAAATCTGAGTTGACTTGGAGCATTTCATACAGAACAGCAACACAAGAAAAGACACATTTTGTCAATCAATGATATTCCAGTCAAAGCAGGAAAAAGCGCACTGCTGTTCACACAAAATAATAATTCAGATGACTAACAGGCAGAAAGGGACTACACCTAAACTGCCTCTGAAGCAGCCAGATTTGTGGGTCAATAGCCACATTCCACGTCAGTCCCTTCCACACTGAAAGGCTACATGTTGAAAAGTTGGATTTAGAATGGCAGTGTGAAAGAGGCTCATCTCATACTACCTCCAATGCCGGTACATTTGTGGGTCGACTTCCACACCTTTAATGTCGGTGATTTTAAAAGAGAATTCAAGGCCAGTACAGTATGAAAGGGGTGATCTGACACTACATGTGAAAACAGCGACTTTGAGACCCCCATTCCGTGTAAGCCCCTTTCACACAGTACAGTGATTTTGGGGGGAAAAAAGCTGGCTCCGACTGGCAGTGTGAAAGAGGGAATCTGATACTACCTCTGAAGCTGCTAACTTTAGGGGGTCAACTTCACCACCACCACCACCTTTCGAGACCTTTCACAAAGACATGAGAATAATATTGATTTTAAAAAGCAGAGTGAAGGGGCTATCTGATAACAGCTCCAAAGCCGGCAACTTCAATTCCCCCATTCCGTGTTGTTGCTGTTTCCGCAGGACAACAACCCATGAAAACAGCGTCAAATTCCTGCCTGTGTGAAAGAGTTGTGATGAGGGAGGCGCACTGATGAGATTTACTGTATCCTGAGCGCCATCGGTGCAAAACCAAACACCCTCGCTCATGAACAGGTGAGTTTCACACAATTCTCCCGCCCCGCACCCCCCACCTTGTGTACCCCCTCCGTCCATTTTTGCCCAATCTCGCCCCAGTGCCCCCTTTCATCCTCCCAATGTCCCCATTAAGACAGAGTATTCCTTCGTAAGCCCTCATCT